GAACCAATGTTTGCCTCAAAACAGATAAATTTCATTACAACAAAACACAATGATAAAAATACACTGCAGAGTTATGCCCCCTTAGTTTCACAACAGTACTATTCCCACCACATAACAGAACGGGCCACAAAAAAATGGATTCACATGCTGATCCCATGTGGTGAATGAAACTCAGAGTCAGCTTAATGTGCAAATGAGAACATAACTGCCTCCCCCCTGCGCTTTTTACACGAGATTAATCCCCCCCGAGTCAGTATAGTGAACACTGCATGTATTTTGCTTGTTTAGTTTGTTGTTTAACGCGGCACTCAGCAACATTCCAGCTATATAATGGTGGTGGCCTGTAAATATTTGAGTCTGGACCACACAATCCTGTGATCAACATCATGAGCAATGATCTACGCAATGGGGATATGATGACATGTCATCCCAGTCAGCGATCCTGACCACTCACCTCATTAAACAAGTATTGGTTGCCTAAGACCAATTTAAAGAGGATTTGGTGGTCATATCCATATGGGTCATGCATGTCTTCCTATCCCTATTATATAGACCTATGCTCATGATGTCAATCACTGGAATGTCTTGTAGAAGACGTGATTACTTACAGCCTGCTGTTATACTGTTGGAAATTATTGATGGTTGTATTAACTTCTAACATATGCCTCGCCGTGATGTTGCTGGAATATTGCTAAAAGCGGCGTAAAACCAAACTCGGTCAGTCAGTCAGTCTAACATATGCTGAAGGATCAAACAGAAGTATGATTTTTCAATTTGGTGTGTGTGTGAGTGAGTGAGCGAGTTAGGTTGGGTTTTAGACTGCTTTTAGCAATAATCCAGCAATATCACAGCGGGAATTTTCAATATGAATCTACAAGTGTGAGAGGACAAAATGACCGGAGTAGCCACTCACCAGTAACAAGAAGCAATCCGGAGTTCAATTGCTTCAGGAAAACAACACGCTGAAACAAAGAACATTGACAATCACTCTAATCAATATTGCTAAAAAATGAATCATCATATGCTCTAAGAAGTATGTTTCTTATTGTTATGTTTGTTAAATCGAGACAAACAACTGATATATGACTAGTAAAACTGCAATGTAAACAACATATTAGGAAGTAGCCTCAATCGTCTTGATCATGGTATTACTTGGTGCCTGTTTTGTTTGCACAAGGTCATGATTATGTTCCATTTTTGCCCACGACTTTTGTGGTGGGGTCTAAGCAGTGTTCACGAATAGCGTCTGACCCTCTGACAAATCCGGCAGATTCGCCAATGGTCTGATAGAAGTCTAAAACCCACCGACCCCTGTGTCTGTCTGTATATTTCACAATGACTTTGACTGAAGTTGTTATATGTGACATGTGACACTTGTTTTCTGTTTATATTTCTTATGTTTGTTAATAATTTCAATGCCAATTATTAGAAATGTTCAATCTGAAATGTGTGTTTAATTTCATTCTATGGGTCCTGTGAATTTTCAATGGGTCAGACAGACATCTGAAACTTGCAGGACCCAATGTCCTGTTACTTTGAAACACCATTCGTGAACACTGGTCTAAGATCACAATTGATTATTGAGCAGTCTGCATATTGTGAGCAATATCCAGCACCAGTAAACAGGACTATTTTAACAACAGGTGAGCAAGTTAAGTTTTACACCAAACTTAGCAATATTCCATCTATATGGCGGTGGTCTGGACCAGACAATCCAGTGATCAACAGCATTAGCATCGATCTGCGCAATTGGGAACCGATGACATGTGTCAACCAAGTCAGCGAGCCTGACCACCCAATCCCGTTAGTCGCCTTTTACGACAAGCATAGTCGCCTTTTACGACAAGCATAGTCGCCTTTTATGACAAGAATGGGTTGCTGAAGACCTACTCTACCCCGGATCTTCACGGGTTAATTTAACCAAAGCAAGGTAACAGGTCAGTATCTTAACCTGATAATAACCATTCTCACCTTTCCCTTATGTCTGCCAGCGACAATGATGAGCACAGTGCCGGGGCTGATGGTGGACCTCAGCTTGTGTGTATGGTTTTTGAATGCCTTCTGTTTGTGTTTAAGGTCACGAGGCTTGTCTTCTGTTGGGTAGTAGCGGGGCTGTGAAGAAAGGAACTCGGTCAGCAGGGTACACCAAGCTATATGTCATAGTCATAAGAGTCTAAGGGAGATAATTCAGCTTAAATTTTTGCCAGGTTCTTTCGGAGCATCAACACTGTCTACAGATTGGTTTCACAGGACAGCAACTTCATACTGAAATTCATACTAGTCTACCAGCCTGATACTACTAGATTGTGATGAAGACAAGTAAAAATACAGCAATGGTAGTCTTCACTGACCAGCTACATTCAAGGGCAGAAGTTCTGAACCAGCTCAAGGCATCCATTTGGCTACAAATTGAAACTGAAAACTGACAGAAAATGTAAAACATTGAACATTTTGGTTGTGTTCAATCAGAATTAGCAAATTCAAACAAGTTCACTACTGGTGCTCTGGAATTGTCTGCAAATAAACACACATTTCTTAGGGTGAGAACAGGGCTGGTGAGCTTGCCAAGCTGTAATGGCATTAGAAAAACTGGTTTTGAATAATTGCCGCTCAGTATTTTAATTATATTACATGTCGGTTTGGTATTGGATGGAGGCCCAAAGTGATGCAGTTCTCAAATATGCACAAGAAAGGTACTGACAAACCTATAACCAAGCATAAGAATCCATTGTCATAACATTCCGGCATGCCTACCCCACACAGTGAATTGCTGCTCTTAGGTACTTGTGTTCCAAATAAATGAAATAACTGATGACCCGCAGATCTAAAAAGCTATGCAATTAAAAACACCCAATTCTCAAATGTTCAAATCGAGTAAATAAATTGATTTATTAACTTTTCATTGGATGATCATTTATTTACTACCGGCAACTTGAAAACCTGAAAAAGAGTGAGTGAGTTTAGTTTTACGCCGCACTCAGCAATATTCCAGCTATATGGCGGCAGTCTGTAAATAATCGAGTCTGGACGAGACAATCCAGTGATCAACAGCACGAGCATCGATCTACGCAAATAGGACATGATGACATGTGTCAACCATGTCAGCGAGCCTGACCACCCGATCCCGTTAGTCGCTTATTACGACAAGCATGGGTTACTGAAAACCAATTCTAACCTAAATCTTCACGGGTCAGTGAAAAAGAGAGACTGTGTATTTGCAAAAACATTTGATGAAGTAAGTATGTTTTATTGTCTTGTGTGATCAAGCTTTACTGAACTTTACCCTGAAAAGCAGTGAAATGATGGTGACTGATCAATGATGATGGTTGACAGGTCGGTTGATTAAATCATTTTCACAGAACTCATACTTAACACTTCTCCTTTGGCTCACGCTTAGCCACCAGGGCTAGAGCATTAGCTCTGAACACCAAACACCGATTTTGATTTCCTATATGAGTTTGGGGTTACAACATGTGTACAATATGTCGAGCCCATTCCACGAGTAAAAATCCATGTCACTGATCTCACATGAAGCAATTGACTGACTGATTGATTGACCACCCAATCCCTTCAGTCATCCCCTACATGCAGCAATGCATAGGAGGGCATTGGAGGTTTTTTCTGGGCTGCATGTCACTCTTTATTGTTGATCAAACTCACATATCTGGTGATGGCCACACGTCTAGTTCCTCCATTTTTGTCTCCACCAATCTTTTTTTCCACATATGTTGGTTTCTTGACCTTTTTCTTAGCCGCTAGGGCTCCTGGCGCTGGTTTGGGACCCATCTGAAACATACGTTAGGAATAAACATTGTGAAGACTGACCACTGCAGATCACTGCTGACAACGCAGAGTTAGAACGGGGCATTCTGGTCAATGCACAATCAGATAAATCTCAAGACTCTGGAGGAAGCATCACTTTCCGGGGAAAAGAGTTCATTATGTACCCCACGCCTATTTTTGCGATGAGCAAACACTGTAATTTAGTCTATAGTTTATAGTTAAAAATTAGGTGGGGGTACGTCGCTTCTAACCAGCATTAGTTGCGGGGAAAACATTCAAACCCAGAATCTGTTTTAAGAAATTTTGTCTTTCAACACTAAATTTCTGCAGATGTTTTATATCAAATAATACAACACTATGAAAACTTGTGATGTAGTAACTAGATGAGAATATGTTTTGGGAACAATTTTCAAATGTAACCAGGCATGTTATGAAGCATGTTGATTGGTTAACAGCAAAGGTGATCCACAGACTTGAGGTGGGATACAATGACCCCTGATCCTAACATGTCAGCTCTTATAACAAGTATACCTATTTCACATATGAATCCATTATTGTCCACAATTTATGAAGAAAGGCAAGTAATATAAATATAACATTACAACTTAAATGCATGCACTAATCTGCGATTTACCATCTAAGAGGCATCTACGATTAACCAATTCTAGTCAAGTTCAGTCATTCATAGTATCCTACAGTTAATGATATACGTAAGTCCCCATCACAGACTCGATCATTCTACCAACTTGGCAAATTGAACCATCAACGATTGGATATCTGACTGTGCGAATGCATTTCGGTTCCAAATACATAATTTCAAAGTGACATAAAATTTATATTTTCCTCGTGAACGAAACTAAAATGTGAAAGATGACACATAATGTTGCACTGGACATCTGTACACGTTTAAGTCACATATTGTGGATTCTGTCGATGTAAACACCATCTATAATCATGTGTCTCGTGAACCTGCCTTCACTACATGCCGGGACAAAATGTGTCAATAAACTAATAATGCCTGATAATATCCACCTAATACTGCCATATTACGAAAACCAATTTATTATCCCATTTGAAATTGTTGTTATAATGCAGGATGTCAAACAATCATATCGATAATACTGGATTATAAAATGCGAGTCGGCATGACTATCCACCTACATCGCCAATGAAGTTGCAAAAGGAAGTCACAAAGTGCAACGTAGTGCACTTGCGATCCTAAAAGTGATGACGTAGTACACGGATCTAAGGGGGGACAACACCATGCTTCTTTCTGAGGAAATAGAAAAGACGATGCAAACATTTCAGTGCATGCGGTGTTAACATAAACGACTACAGAATGATGCCAGTTGCTGGTAATGAATGCATATGATGCATGTCAATTATGTTAATTAGTGCATTTACTATCAGGGCACCAGTAGATATTTTAGGTCGTATATGTTCATCTTTGTTTACATGGTGTATACTATCTAAGATTGAAAATTATTTCAAAATAGAGATCACGAATCCAACTTACTCTCTAAGTGAATTTTGTCGGAAGCTTGTGGGTTATTACTGCATCTCTAAACAGCCCTTGTCTTTAGATACCAACAGCGCAATGGCTAATAACTGGATATGCAACGCAAGTTATCACGTTACCAGGTTACAACCGCGTAATCTTGATTCGTGAACATAAGGGAAGTGCGGCGAAAAATCATATTTTAAATGCACGATTTCATTTTGTATACTCACTGATTATTTTATTCATTGATTTAGCAAATTGAAAATGCCTAATATTCCACTCGTGAATGAAACGTTTCTTTACCAAAGCCATTTACAACTGTGTATATGTTTTGTTGTTGTTGTTTACGCCTCACTCTAGAATAAGTCTAGCTTTGTGAGTGTATGTGACGGTGGTCTGTAAATAATTCTGTCTGGACCTGACAATCCAGTGATTGACACCATATACATTTATCTACGCATTTGGATACAATGACATGCATCGAACCTGACCACACGGTCAGTTTAGTTATTACAACAAGACATGCATGGGTTGCTGAACACCAGTTCTACAGGGATATGTAAATAAATAGTGTAAATAATGGCAAATGGCACTAGAGGCAACTGCACTCTAACTAATTTTCATCCATAATAATAATAATGAGAAGTCTTATAATGCGCTAATCTCTACGCAACAAAGCATGCTCAAAGCGCTAACACCCTGATTATTATTACCCCGGATAACCCAAGCTGCCTGTTAGGCGCTAGAAGGTTATAGTCACATGACTTTATCCAACCAGGTACCCATTTTCTGTTGGGTGAACAGAGGCAATTTTGAACAAACTCACTTGGCTAAGGTGAGACCACATGTATCACATGTGCTTCGTTGTGGGGCGCAGGACCGAAGTCCTAGAAACTCTCAGGAGTCAAGCTGTCAAACACGGTCACCCATCCAAGGACTGTCCAAGCTCGCTGTTGCTTAACTTCGACTGATTCATGACCTGCGCTCTGTGCACAGGACCACACGCCACCACGTAGACTGTGCACATTGCATTTCTTTACTGTAAGAACTGTTAAAGTTTCTTAGAAATTCTACAAAGGGGACATTTGATAGAAACATAAGCAAGAGTATTTTCAGAAATAGAATGGTTATGAACAAAATTAGTTAAAACATTAATCCATAAACTTTATGGATTATGATTACTAGACAATTATGTCCACCTTTTTATTTTAGGTTTTGTTCAAAGTACAATCTGTAATATATGCTCAATTAAAGTGAATAAACAAATTAGGTGTTACCTTCATGGTGAAGATTATGGATCTTTCTGTCTCAAGACAAAAGCCTGATGCCCGTTTACATAAAATATATTGCAGTACAACGTTTTGAGTGAAATGTATACACAAGGACTTAATGAAATCATGATACTCTGAGATGCTGAACAAGGTTGGGTATAACTGTATATCAGGGTATGGTACATCTGTGCACTATAATGGGTTGTGTGATATGCATGTACCTACCTTAAGATCAACTCTGTATTAGTGGTGGTCCGATTAATTGAAATAATCGAAGATTGGTCGCAGTGCCTAAACGACTAAGCAATCGATTGTGTTTTCTCATAATCGAACACAACCAATTTTGGAACACTTGTTTGCATCAACAATATTTTACACAAGGTTAGTTTTGTCTGTGTCATTAAATTTACATTTCATAAGCACTACAAGCTCGTTCCAAGTCATGATTGAATTTATCTTAAAGACACCAAGAAATTTATGTTCCTAACATACTAATCATCCTTTAAATATGCGAAATTTGCCAATGGATTTTGTGCAATTTGCAAAAGACCCAAATTACTACATGTTTTTTCTTTTTTTTTGTGTGCATTAACAAAGATAACAGGAACATTTGATAAATGACGCAAACCAATTATTTTCGATGATTGATCTGTTGTAATAAACCAATCATCAATTATGAGACTTTAACCAATTCCCAACACTACTCTGTATTCTTTTACAGATGGTTATGGAGGTGAACAGCAGATTGACTACAAGGGAAAGTATAAGACTCTAAAGAAGAAGTTGAAGCTCCTGGTTTATGTATGTGTGCCTGTCAGATAATATAATTGTCATATATAAGGATGATGATGATATTTATAATGCACCAAATCTGCACACTAAAGCTAGCTCTAATGTTAATATTAATGCATTTTTAAAGCTCAGCAATTATGATGTGCTCTGTGTGCAAGCAGAAAGTTTATTTTGCTGGAACTTGTAGTATATTTGAAAGAGGAAACATTGGTAGCAGTTTTGATAGTATCTGGAAGCCAGTTCCAATTAGAGACAGCTGTGAAAGAAAACATCTTTTTCCAAAAGTAGAAGATTTAGATCGGAACAGAAGAGATGTTGATCTTGTGAGCAGAGGGTTCTATGAGGACAGTAGGCTAGTAGGAGTTTTCTGAGGTATTCTCAACTCCCTGGGGAGTCTAGAACCCACACTGTCTCATGGGATGCTCAGAACTGAGGGAGCTTTTGAACCTATAGTCACAAAAACAGCAAATGTGGTTATGCTATGTTCACATTATCACAATTTGCGACACGACTGAAATCGTGGTCTTAATTGTGGACTAATTGTGGTGATCCTATCAGATCTTGAGGTCAGTCGTGGCAATCGTGTTGATCGTAGAAAAAGTTTGGACTGGAAAATTTTGAGCGCAACATATCGCATCTAATTGTGCTTCCAAATCGTGGTGATTGGAATCAATCGTGGTTGTGGGTTGTAGTGTTCACTCTGTTGACGTTTAAGAAACAATGAAGTTTAAGAAACAATGAAGTCCAAGGTCAGTCAGGCTGTATATATATCCCGTCCTATCATATCAAAACGTATGTGATCACCTATCCAAACCAGAAATTTCAGGAGATCAGATCGTGGACAATGAAAGCATACGCATCCGGTGAAAGCGCCCAACAAATCATATCAAATAATCATCGATTGCCAGAGATCTTGCATTCACCTTTGTATCCAAACCAGAAATGTCAGAGAAGTTCCACGATCATGCAGGAGCAAGAATGTTTCAATTCGGGCATTAAGTAGGAATCGTATGGAAGCTGCCCATTTAGTAGGCTACTGAAGCTCCAAGAAATCTGAAGTTGGACCTGTTTGAACTTCTTCAGCATTATGCCCAGTGATTTATAATGTGAAGTAAAATGGCATGTACAGCTTCTTCATGGTTGTGAAAGTGACATTAATAAACGTCTGAATGACACCGTTTGATTTTTCAACATTTCTCATGAGAGTGTAACTGATGCATTTGGTGTAAACACTGAACAATTACTTCCACATTCTGTGGAAAACCTTATGAATTCTCTACCATGGATAAAGTATTTTATCTTATTTTTGAGCATGTGGACTTGTTACTTTGCATACTCTGGAGAAGGTCAGAGCTGTGATGTTGATCCACAATACAAAGGTTCATACTTCTATAAAGTCATGCAAAGTGAATTTCAGTTGTTAATTGTCCGCTCCCTGTCACTGTTTGTGATACAGCCATATTTACAAAACACGTACCCGTTGATGCAAGTCACAATTGCTGAAATACTGACGATGTGACTTAAAATCTTCACCCAACCCACTCACTCACTCACTCACTCACTCACTCACTCACTTCGTTGATGCAAGGGGAATAATCTGTTTGCTTTTATTAGTTTTCTGCTGGATCGGCTGCTGCAGTATGAGAAGGTGAACGACTCCTCGGAGACAGCGACGCCACAGCTTCCAGTGACAGTGATGGAGATGGCCACAAAGACACCCCAGCCAAAAAGTAGGTCAATACTTCTTATATGTAGCTATGCAGGGCTCCAGATAAGGGCCGTATCGGCGTACGTACGGATAAAAAATATGCACGATACGGTAGGAAATATGTTAGAAAACGTAGCAGATACGCACCACAGCAATGGCGTACGGTCCTAGAATCATTTGCAGACGTATTTATCTGAAAAAGAATTGTTGAATTGTTTATTGACCTGTTTACACAAGAGTAGCAATGTTGTGGCGTAAATATGAAACGAAACACACGATTACTGGGACTCCATTAAATTTCATTCAGTACTCTAAATGTACTCTTACGTTTTTCCAGTACTCCTATATTGAAAAAATAAGGAGTACATACTCCTGGTGTTTAAAGATTACCTGGAGCCCTGCTATGTATGACAAATGTGTTTTGTTGAAGAGAGAGAGAGATAGAGAGAAGGGGAGGCTAAAGCAAGCATAAATGACTGAATCAGAAATCATTATGAGAGTGTCACTCGCAGTTTTTGCCAAAGAAGTCTTCATTATAGACTGCATCAGAAAATGTCACTTCAAATTATACTGGATATGCATCAATAGATGCATCATGACATCATTGTGAGTGTGCATCACTTGCAGTTTTTGCAGCTGTTTCCTGCTGTCATGGGACCTGCTGTGATGGGACCCATGAAGATCCAGGTTAGAACTGATCTTCAGCAACCCATGCCTGTCGTAAGAGGCGATATACAGGATCGATGGGGAGGTCAGGCTCGCTGATTTGGTTGACGTATGTCATCGTATGCCATTTGTGTAGATCGATGCTGATGCTGTTGATCACTGGATTGTCTGGTCCAGGCTCGATTATTTACAGACCGCTGTCATATGGCTGGAATATTGCTGAAAGCTGCCATAAACAACAAACCAAACCAAACCAACTTTTACATGATGTTGTTCTATGTAGGCGGAAGTTGGCTGTTTCCTGCTGTCTTTATGTGATGTTGTTCTATGTAGGCGGAAGTTGGCCAGTGTGAGTCTCGGGCAGTCTGGGGTGCCTCCTGAACTGGCTCACCTGATTGGAGGCGGCGGCATGGCAGGGTTGTCAACACAGGTGAGACAACAGCTGTGTGTCTTGTGTCAACTACAAACATTACAATGCCATCACAATGCAAATAGTCAATATGACTTTAGTTTGATTGTTTATTCTCCATCATTCTCTATGAACATGTGACTCTTCTAGTGTTGGGAATTGGTTGAAATCTCACAATTGATGATTGCTTCATTACCAACGAACAATCATCGAAAAAAATTGGTTAGCGTCATTTTTCAGATTTTCCTATCCAGGTTGTTATTGCAGATATGTATAACATGATGCAACTTGCTACTTTAAAGTGATGACTTATAATATATCATGAACATAAACTTGGAGTCTTCAAGAAATATTCAGTCATGGCTTTTCAGTTAGTGAAGTGAGTTTTCTATGAATTAAACACGTTTTCAGGCACTGACAACTTCAACGATATGTTCCATTGTCAAGTATTTCAAAGACTAAAAAAGTAGTTAAAAAATTGTTTATGTTCGATTATGAGAAAATGTGATCGATTGCTTGGTCGTTTGGTCACTTCGACCAATCTTCGATTATTTCAATTAATCGAACACCACTAGACTCTTCTGACTCATATCAGGAGAAACTGTCCTATCCCGAAACATGTCAGTTGATCAAGCCTGACACATTCTTATATACAAGACGATGATGATGGCGATGATGATTATGATGCGACGACGATTTGGAGATTTAACATTTGCTTTCCCACATGATGCATATTTCGCTCATGGGCCCACCAGGCTTTTGAGTGCTTGATTGAAAGAGGGGTGATTTTGTATGAAAGATAGGGGTTAAGGGTTTCATGTTTGATTTTTGTATAAATTTGGATTCTTGTATGAATTTGGAATTTTCAGGTATTGGGGGTAAGGGGTGTCCTTTACTGTTAGAATGTTATGATGTTTATTCAGTGTGGTACAAACCCTGGTTGAGAATCAGTTGTTATGATGTTTATTCAGTGTGTGTATTGTCTACAGGTGTCGGGGTCAGCTGTTAGAATCAGTTGTTATGATGTTTATTCAGTGTGTGTATTGTCTACAGGTGTCGGGGTCAGCTGTTAGAATCAGTTGTTATGATGTTTATTCAGTGTGTGTATTGTCTACAGGTGTCGGGGTCAGCTGTTAGAATCGAATCAGTTGTTATGATGTTTATTCAGTGTGTGTATTGTCTACAGGTGTCGGGGTCAGCTGTTAGAATCGGTTGTTATGATGTTTATTCAGTGTGTGTATTGTCTACAGGTGTCGGGGTCAGCTGTTAGAATCGGTTGTTATGATGTTTATTCAGTGTGTGTATTGTCTACAGGTGTCGGGGTCAGCTGGAGGTGAAAGTGGTAAGAAGAAGAAGACCTTGAAGAAAGGAAAACGTGAGTGTGTTGGTTTGTGTTGCTGTGGTATTCAATTCACTAGAACTCTGAGGAGTTGATGACTCGTGTGGTAATGCTTTCCTAAAAACTAGACCCAACCCTGTGGGGTTAAAAGAGTGAGTGAGTGAGTTTAGTTTAACACCGCACTCAGCAATATTCCAGCTATATGGCAGCGGTCTGTAAATAATCGAGTCTGGACGAGACAATCCAGTGATCAACAGCATGAACATCGATCTGCGCAATATGGGAACCGATGACGTGTCAACCAAGCCAGCGAGCCTGACCACCCGATCCCGTTAGTCGCCTCTTACGACAAGCATGGGTTACTGAAAGTTCATTCTAACCCGGACCTTCACGGGTCTGGGGTTAAAAGAGACAGCTTAAGGGATCAGGTGCTCAGGCTTTGTCATCGTACTTTTATAGTATTGTTCGCTGCTCATATTAGTCACGGGATTGTCATGTCCAGACTGGACTGACTACAAGATTTAGTCATATAGCTGGACAATGTTCAACGGCTAGCAAACTGTTGGTACAAATTAGGCACAAGATAGATTCAGGTGTGAAATAAAATTCTCAAAATTGTAGTACAATCAGATCTTTTGAATAATTTCTGGGAATAGAGCAAATATAACAGTAAAGTATGAATGAGAGTAAGTGAGAAACCAGTTCCAAGCATGAGAATTACTACATCTTTAGCATGATTTATAGCAGAAACTTTGAACATTGCCAGCATAGTGATGTTGCTTTGTGTGATAACAGCTACCCCAAAGTCCTCGGAGCGCAAGTCAGTGAAGAGTCAGCCTGGTCAGATGACCCGAGAAGAGCTGGAGCGCCACCTAGATGCTAAACAGAACTCATTCGGCATCGAGAAGGCGCCCACGCTTCTTCCCATGGAAATCTTCAGCAATGATAACTCCAACCCAGACAGGTAAGACCACTGATTGCAGAGTTACTGCTTCAGTTTTCACATAGATATTGTCAAGCTAAATATAATCATTAAGAAAAGAGTGACATCATTAGTTATATAGTTCTGTTTTAGTAAATCAAAAATGAATATTCGAACACGTTTTTGGCCACATTCTTTTTTTTTTTTTGAAACTTGAGTCAGTGAATGAGGTTTGACATTTAAGCCACGTGGAGCTTAATTTCGTCTGAAATGACTAAAACATAGCTTCTGGGGGTAAGTGTAGGAGTGATTATTGTTTTGTCACATTTAGAAATATTCCAGTATTATGGCATTCTCTTCCCACAGAGGTTACTCCTGTCATATCTTCCTACGTAACCTCTGTTCTAATACGGCCCTTTCATGGTGTGAGCTTTCAAGACTGGTGATTGGAGGCAATCAGATTTAGTTGTGCAATCAGCGACGTTGTTTCAAAAGTGATCATTCGCAAGGCCTCGGTAATTTCCGTATGCTTCGAGAAAACTAAACCTCTTCCCCTGCGCGATGCGCAAACGTTTCTTCTAGACAGAACTCAGTCATGTTATGGCGGATCAGTGGCGTCTCCATCGCCCTCGTTGACATCGGACAAGCTTGCCATCAAACGTCTTGTGTGTAACATCAACACAAGTCCCCGGCAGATGGGGGATATTTGTTGCCCCACATTTGCTTGTGTTAGTCAAGTTGAATCTAAGTCGATGTGACACGTGTTCTGATTGGATAGAAAGAAGGGAGATAATTCGTTTTGCGATCTTTTGCCGCTAGGGATTTTACGAGAACCGGGAAATATGGCCGTATTAGAACAGAGGTTCGTAGGAAGATATGACAAGTAACCTCTGTGGGAAGAGAATGGTATTATGGTAGGGACTCCAAAAGTGGTCTTCATATATTGTACGATTCCAGGGAATCGAACCATGGCCTTAGGCATGATAGTTGAACACTTATTCCTATAAGCTCCCCCACCACCCCAGAAAAAATTAAAAGTTTTTGAGAAGCATTGATAGAAATGACTTTCACATCAAGTCTCACTGCAGTTTTGCTCAAAATATATGAGAAGGGTTTGGATTATAATTTAGAGAGGCACATACTGTAGCTTATTATTGAGATGATCTTCATGTGTTGTTTGACATGGAAATTACGATTGTACGATAACTATTACTTTTGATTAGGTGGTAATTTAACGTGTCAGCATTTTGAAACTTTCCTCCAAAGGTATGTTTCCAGCCATTACCTTATTCACCTGTTGCGAGGACACACCCAGAAGGCTGACATACTCAACAAATGTTTTATGAGAAAAAACATATTTTATCTATTAAGGTATCTATCTGCCATATTGGAAAGGGGAGAAAGTCTCTCGTCTGGTGGGTGTGTAATGACGCACAGCAACCTAATATGACGTCGTCAACCTGCATGTTTTGCTTGTAGCAGAGGATGTAAGTGTTCGCACCGTCTCATGACGCACCAGATTGCCCACATTGCATATCACGCTCATCTCGGCCTCTGTGTATGTAGAGAAGGCCCGTTTTTGTTACTATGTGGTTTGTAGGTTCTAAAACTGTAGAAGTCAAAGTGAAAATGAAAGTAACATCTTTTTCTAAAGTGATTGTTTTTCGTTATTGATGATTGGGAATTGTGGAAGAAAAAGATTAAACAAATTCATTCCCTTAACATATGTATGTATAAGTTATTATTCATGTGTGAATTTGATAAATATTCTCAATTTGGATTACAAGATTTTCCGAATTTTTGCATTTTTTTAAATTTGTGAAATCTTGAGGATCTTTAAACCACATAGTGAAAAAAACACCAAATTTCATACATCAAAATCACGACTTTTGAATTGATAATTCTGAAACTAGAAATTTTGCATGACACATGAAGCAATGTCAGACATCAAAGATTATAATTTTGCAGAAGAAAAACCCCAGAAAAACATCATTAGTAAATGCTGAGTCCTTAAATTACCAGCTACCCAATCAGTGTTGGATGAGATGTGTCAAGGGTGTTGGAGGACCTTGATTAAACAACTAATGTTGTGTTAGTGACGTGTGTTGTATATTTCAGTTTGAGTGACATCATGGGAGGGGAGGAGGATGACACCGACCTCATCATCGACGTCCCCAACTGAGGCGTCAACAGCATACTCCATATTCATACTAAGAGGTCGAAACAGTCCAGTGACTTGGGTTTACTGGCAAGAATTGTTGCCGTAGATGTTCTTGGTTACATCTGTACCTGTGTCCTTTGATGGAAGGGAACGTGACAAAACATGCTTTACCGTGGAGGGGAGTATGTAGACATAGGACTCATGTGGATGGAGGATATTGTGTAGTGTTCAATGTGTTTGTTGTAGGTCTATATGTGCAGTAGCTACTTGTGACCCGTGAATACTCGGCTTAGAATTGATCTTCAACAACCCATGCTTGTTGTAAGATGCGACTAACAGGATCGGGTGGTCAGGCTCACAGTGAGTGAGTGAGTGAGTTTGGTTTTACGCCGCTTTTAGCAATATTCCAGCAATATCACGGCGGGGGACACCAGAAATGAGCTTCACACAATGTACCCATGTGGGGATTCGAACCCGGGTCTTCGGCGTGACGAGCGAACGCTTTAACCACTAGGCTACCCCACCGCCCCTCAGGCTCACAGACTTGGTTAACACATGTCATCATATCCCAACTGTATAGGTCCATGCTCATGTTGTTAATCACTGGATTGTCTGGTTCAGATTTGTTTTTATAGCTCGCCACCATATAGCTGGAATATTGCTGAGTGCGGCATTAAACAAACAAATTTTAATACATGAAGAACAAACAAACGGTAGCTGTTGGGTAATATGAAAGTCTTGATGTCGGTTCTATGCTGGTTATCCCATGGATATCCACCCTGGACAAAACAAACATTCTTGAAACTTCTTTCCATGTTTCAAGTTTTGTGATAGATTTCTGTCATTGTGACAGTTGTCTTTGTGACAGAATGTAATTGTGATGGTGAGGTGAGGTGAGGTGAGGTGAGGTGAAATTGGGTTTAACGTCGTGCTTGAGAATATTTCCGCTCATAGGACGACGTGCATGCGTGTGTATGTGTATGTGCGGCTGCTTGTACTAGCCCAGACTGAAGCTGGTTTTATAGTGCTAGCTCACTGAGATACCATGCCGCAGTGAAGCATGAATATCCCACTCAGACACATTATACTGACTCCAAGCCGACCAGTCCTTGTTCTACCCATTAATGCCGAGCGCCAGGCAGGGACCAACAAGTACCATATTTTAACGTCTTTTGGTATGAGGCGGTTGGGGATCAAACCCGCGACCTTCCGCTCTCCAGGCGGACGCTCTAACCACTACACCACGGAGGCGGCCAATTGTGATGGTTATCATTATGACAGGTAGTGACTGACAGATGGCTATCACAGTGATGGATAGTTACAAAGATGATGGATAGTTATCTTGACTGATAGTTATCACTGTATTACTGTTGCTAAATCTTATCTTATTCTTCAGGAAACATTTCTGTCACCCATGCTCATTTTCTCTGAATAATTCGTTTCACATGCATGCATTTAGAAATGGAATGTCTAAATGCATCAGAAGCTCGGTGAAAGTACTCAGGATCTCATCATGATGATATCACAGCCTGCCTACTTACACTGCTGATAATATACCTGTCATTTTTGACAGAATATTGTTTACAGGAAGCAACTTCTTAAGCTAATATTGAATTACCTTGTCAGATAGCATAGGTATTCAGGACGGCTTTGTCTCGTTTACAGGAGATAGTTGAGAATTGTAAAAAGGCGATATGTGCTGCATTGTACGAAAGACTCAGTTGGGGAGGTGAATTTTCATCTCATTAATATGTAGCAATCACTCATCTTATCATGGCTGTCTATATTCTCTGTCGGACTTTCAGTATTTCGAGGACATATTTGTGATACATTTTGTCATGATACATATCTACATAGTGAGATCCTAATATGATACGCTCGTTAAGATCTGGATTAGAATTGGTCTTCAGTAACCCAGGCTTGTTGTAAGAGGTGACAATCAGCAATCACTCATCTTATCATGGCTGTCTATATTCTCTGTCGGACTTTCAGTATTTCGAGGACATATTTGTGATACATTTTGTCATGATACATATCTACATAGTGAGATCCTAATATGATACGCTCGTTAAGATCCGGATTGGAATTGGTCTTCAGTAACCCAGGCTTGTTGTAAGAGGTGACGGGATCAGGCGGTCAGGCTCACTGACTTGATTGACACATGTCATCATATCCCAATTGCATAGGTCAATGCTCATGCTGTTGATCACTGGATTGTCTGGTCCAGATTCGAACATTTACAGACTGCAGCCATGTAGCTGGAATATTGCTGAGTGTGGTGTTAAACAACAAACAAATCCAAAGATGAAGACAATCGACTCTCAGAAGCATCCTTATCTTGTAAACTTAATTGACCTGGTTCCGATTTTTTTTTACTCAAATTTCAAAGTGAGTTTGACAATTTGAAACAGTTGAATTTCTAAAATCAAAAAGCCAAAACAACTTAAGTAACCTATCTGCCAAATATAAATTGTCTACTAGGTTTGAGTTTAATATCAATTTCAGTTTATTCTGGGAAATACATTTTCCAACCTTTTCTCAAATTTGAGTGAAAACTGTTCAGACTTGCTGACTTGGTTGATACATGTCATTGTACAGTGGAAGCCCTCTAAACCGGCACTCGTTGGGACCGACAAAAAATGCCGGTATAGAGGGCTTGCCGGTTTAGAGAACTTTTCGCTTTTCAACCTGGGAATGATTTTCCGTATGCCGTAAAATACGACTGAACAATGTGTTGATAGTCATCATATTCGACGCTCACTTTGAACTGTTTGATGTGGTATCGTGTCTTCCAACGTGCCAGCCAACCATCTGATGCATTAAACTCGTTGACATTTAATTCTGAAGCAAACTGAATAGCTTCTCTTTCAAAATAGGACCAGAAATGGGCATGTTTTTACAGCGGGCAGTCGAAAAAAAAATCATGCTGGTTTAGAGAGCGTTAATTACTGTACAAACAGTCAATCGCCAGATTAGAGGGCGTGTAAATGATCATAAATTAACACGCTTCTGCCGGGACCAAGTTCTAGTGCCGATATTGAGAGCATGACGGATTTGAGGGCTGCCGGTTTAGAGGGCTTCCACTGTATCTCTTTTGCGTGGACTGAGACTAATGACATCAGTCACTAGATTTTCTGGAACTGGGTCGATTATTTACAGATTATCACAGCTGGAAGTCTGCTCAGTGCACTGTTAAACAACAAACAAATATCACACGTAATATTTACGGGGTAAATTTGTGTAGATGCATCGTATTGTGGCACAGGCTATCGTCAGTTGATGAATAGTAATAGTCCAAAAAGACATGGATTTTGTGTGTGAGCTACAAGTGCTGACGTCTGCTGACAATGCTGTTTCTTGTACTCACCTTGAATGTTTCTTTGACGCTTTATTTCTCTCCATTGTGCTCATCTTCATTCTTTTTTTAATAAAAAGAAATTGACTATACATGCAGCTGTTTGCGTTCTTGATATAATGGTTCTAAAAAATACTGAATCCACGACTGCAATGAGTGAGTGAGTGAGTTTAGTTTTACGCCGCTTTTAGCAATATTCCAGCTATATCACGGCGGGGGACACCAGAAATGGGCTTCACATCTTGTACCCATGTGGGGAATCGAACCCGGGTCTTCGGCGTGACGAACGAACGCTTTAACCACTACGCTACCCCACCACGCCCCACGACTGCAATGAAACCTCAGACTGTGGCCATACATTTGAATACAACATGATAGTTTCCCAGTTGTCCATGAGCAACATTGTATTAGAGAGACAGACCTCAAAATGGACACAGCAGATCTTGAGGTACTGCCAGTTGGTTCAAGCATTTGCTTGTCACATTAAATGCTCAGGTTTGATTTCCAAATGTGTATCTTTATAATATTGATGGAAAATTATTAAACGACATAGTTAGATATTTCATCTATTTCATCATTAGATGTTTCATCTATCTGTGCAGACAGGTTGTCTTCACTCTAAGATGCCTGAGTAAACAGGTTGTTGGAGTTTTCGGGTGTTTCCTGTAAACAGGTTCTCTAGTTTTCAGGTGTCATTATGAATAGGTAAAATCTGCCCAGTGTCTGTGTAAACAGGTTGTCAGAGGTTTCTGGTGTCGGGGTGTACAGGTTGTCAGAGCTTTCAGGTGTTGGTGTGTACAGGTCAGAGCTTTCAGGTGTCTGTGTGGACAGGTTGTCAGAGTGGACAGGTTGTCAGAGCTTTCAGGTGTCTGTGTGGACAGATCAGAGCTTTCAGGTGTCTACACAAATAGGTTGTCAGAGGTTTCAGGTGTCAGTGTGTACAGGTTGTCAGAGCTTTCAGGTGTCGGTGTAAACAGGTCAGAGCTTTCAGGTTTCTGTGTGGACAGATTGTCAGAGCTTTCAGGTGTCGGTGTAAACAGGTCAGAGCTTTCAGGTTTCTGTGTGGACAGATTGTCAGAGCTTTCAGGTGTTGGTGTGTACAGGTTGTCAGAGCTTTCAGGTGTTGGTGTGTACAGGTTGTCAGAGCATTCAGGTGTCTGTGTGGACAGGATGTCAGAGCTTTCTGGTGTCTGTGTGGACAGGTTGCCAGAGCTTTCAGGTTTCTGTGTTGACAGGTTGTCAGAGCTTTCAGGTGATTATGTGGACAGGTTGTCAGAGCTTTCAGGTTTCTGTGTAAACAGATTGTCAGAACTTTCAGGTTTCTGTGTGGACAGGTTGTCAAAGCTTTCAGGTGTCTGTGTGGACAGGTCAGAGCTTTCAGGTTTCTGTGTGGACAGGTTGTCAGAGCTTTGGATGACAGTGTGTACAGGTTGTCAGAGCTTTCAGGTGATTATGTGAACAGGTTGTCAGAGCTTTCAGGTTTCTGTGTAAACAGATCGTCAGAACTTTCAGGTTTCTGTGTGGACAGGTCAAAGCTTTCAGGTGTCTGTGTGGACAGGTTGTCAGAGCTTTCAGGTGATTATGTGGACAGTATGTCAGAACGTTCAGGTGTCTCTGTGGACAGGTTATCAAAGCTTCCAGGTGTCTGTGTGGACAGGTTGTCAGAGCTTTCAGGTTTCCGTGTGGACAGGTTGTCAGAGCTTATATGACAGTGTGGACAGATTGTCAGAGCTTTCAGGTGTCTGTGTGGACAGGTTGTCAGAGCTTTCAGGTGTCTGTGTGGACAGATTGTCAGAACTTTCAGGTGTTGGTGTGGACAGGTTGTCAGAGCTTTCATGTGTCTGTGTGGACAGGTCAGAGCTTTCATGTGTCTGTGTGGACAGGTTGTCAGAGCTTTCAGGTTTCTGTGTTGACAGATTGTCAGAGCTTTCAGGTGTCGGTGTAAACAGGTTGTCAGCTTTCATGTGTCTGTGTGGATAGATTGTCAGAGCTTTCATGTATCTGTGTGGACAGGTCAG